AATCTTTTTACGTTGTAGAAGGCATCATAAATTCATCAGATCGAAATGTCTGATCTAGTCTGATGTAAATATCTAGACTTAATAATAGGCATTGCCTATGAGAATTATTGGGGAGAACAAGATGGCTCAGTGGCTAAGACACTGAACTTGTCGATCAGAAAGGTTGGCAGTTTGGCGGTTCGAATCCCTAGCGCCACGTAACGGAGTGAGCTCCCGTTACTTGTCCCAGCTTCTGCCAACCTAGCAGTTCAAAAGCATGTAAAAATACAAGTAGAAAAATAGTAGAAAATTACTTTGGTGGGAAAGTAACAGTGTTCCGTGTGCCTTCGGTGTTTAGTCATGCCAGCCACATGACCACGGAGACGTCTTTGGACAGTGCTGGCTCTTTGGCTTAGAAACAGATGAGCACCGTCCCCTAGAGTCAGGAACGATTAGCACATATGTTCGAGGGGAACCTTTACCTTATGAGGATTATGATGATGATGCAAGGGTATTCCGTTTTTATTTTTCTCCCCGGACTAATTTGGGCAGGGTATATATTTCAATGAATTGTAAGTAAAACTTTGAAATCAGAAATGTTCTCTTATCAAGGTATAATACCAGTGCAGTTTGTTATTGATGACAAGGTCCCACATAGGATTTTGAACTCCTCAGGGTAGAAAAACCATAAATTCCATTAGCCCACACCTACTCTTGTTTGCGATATCCTGTAAGTTCCGAAAATCAGAAGTCTGGTAGCACCTGTCTCTGACTTATTTTATTTGCAAGTCATAAAATGCAGTTCATACAAGGATGTGCCTTTCAATAAAATGTATTAGTCAAGGTGCTGATCAGACCCACAATTTTTTAAGCTTCCGTAGAGTAAATACGTCGAAGTTTATTGCTAAGAGAAAGATAGCAAAGCTGCTTTTTCAAAATGCCCCTTCTGAAAGAATGTACAAACGTTTTCTGTTTTGTTCTGCCTTTGTCATGGTCACAAAACATTCTAGACTAAAGGTAATGCTTGCAGTCAGCCAATTCTCAAAAAATAAAGTCATGATTCTAATTAAAGAGGCTCTTTTGTCCTCTAAGCCTATTGTGCTCCATTGTTATAAAATTCTAAGTGTATTTTTTTTAGACCATTCCATTGATAAAGGTTCAGTGTGCTAAACAGTGAAGCTAAATTATTAGTCACACTCATTGAAAATATACCTTCTTTGCCTCTGATTTTCTGCAGTCTTTAATACTGCGATATTTAATACTGCAGTATTAAAGTATTAAACAATATTTAGTTGAGTAACTTCACAGTTGTGTTGTTTAGACCTAGTTTAGATGACGTTTCCTGTAACATCCAGACTATGACTGAACCAGTTGTTTCTCGCCTTAAACTATAGCTTAAATTGAATACAGTCCCCTAGTTTAAGAGAATATATAGTAAGAAAGGCCAGCAGTCTGCAATTTGGCAGATCGAATCTCACCAGGCTCAAGGTTGACTCAGCCTTCCATCCTTCCGAGGTGGGTAAAGTGAGGAGCCAGGTTGTTGAGGCCAATACACTGTAAACCGCGTAGAGAGGGCTATTAAAGCACCGTGAAGCGGTATGTAGGTCTAAGTGCTATTGCTATAATATGAAACCTCCCAGAGTTTTGTTTTAGAAAAGCATTATTATTAAACTGTAGTTAATTTAAAGCTGTCTTGTAGGTTGTCAGATTATTCTCTTGGACAGTTCTATTAATAATCTTTTCATTTTCCGTGCAATTAGTTAGTGAGATTAAACAGCGAGTTCAAAGAGAGGCAGAAAAGCTCCCTCCATATTCTCTCATCCGATGCCAAGGATAAAAGTACCATGTCAGCTCTGTCCCTTCCAGGGATCTCTGCAAGGACACAAATAAAGAATGGATGAGCTTCAATTGCATTGTCGGGGCCGCCGTTTAAACATTTTTTTTTTACTACAACCTGCAGACACCCTGGTCTACAAGTCAAGATCAGGAAACTGAGCTCTCAGCAAACCACCATACTGACCCAGAGGAAATCAACAAATTGTATTCATTAAACCAGAGGCTGTGATCCAATTTGAATTGTTGTGATCTTCCAAAATGAATGTCAAGCAAAAAGTGCCAAAATATGAATTGAGCAAGGAGAGCTGAATTTCACCTACATTCCTTTTCTCTTGCGTAATGGCATGGGGTTTCCCCCCTCCAAAGCGTTTCTGTAAGAACACTGGCATTTGAACAGAGGCTCCCGTCATGTTTGCCCCAAATTCCTCTTGCAATGTTGCCATAATAATAATAACAATATCTACTGTGGTTCTAGCTAATGCTGGGATGTTAACAATGGCAGCTGATACAAACAAGGAAGTAGGGGAAATGCTAATGACTTGCACTTTATCCCGAATAGGGAAGGAAAGGAAGGAACCCATTTGCTCTTGTCATCAATCACTTCCCTTCAGTTTGCATTGACGTTGTGTGCCTATCAGTGGCACTTTTCACAAACATTTGCTTGATTGTGATATCCCCCCCCCTCCTTTAACAAATTGAAAATCTGATTAACCCTGTTACCTAATACAGCCGCCTCGGAATTGTCTATGTCTTCACTCAGGGTTCAGTTATGTAAAATAACACGCTGCGTAATTACTTTGAAATTAATTCAGAATGCTTTCCTCACCTCCTCAAACAATCTCTGATATAGTTTAATTGCCACAACAACCTGTTTCAAAAGAGTCAGATTTGCCTTGAAGGAGAACAAGCTCGAGTTAACCTAACTACTCATAACCACTGCACAATTGAGCCTTGAGAACTTCCTGATACCAAAAAGTAGGAGACATAGGAAGTCCTCAGACAATTTGCTTCATGTTTTGGCTTTATTTCAGTAAAATATCTCTGTAGAGATTTGCTGCCAAACAAAGGCAATCAGTCTCTTTCATAGGCCGGTTGCTTTAAAAATGTATTATTTTCTCATTTTGTAGCCATATATTACTTGCATACTTGTGGATTATGAGGATACAGTGATACTTCGGTACTCATCGTTAATTGGTTCCAGGAGGTGCAATGAATACCAAAAATGATGAGTACCAAACATTTTTTTCTCCATAAGGAATAATATAGTGAGTCACAAGACAGCCGACACTGACAAGTTCTAACTTGTGTGTTGAATACCAAACAAACAATGAGTGTCGGGACAAAATTTTCACATCAAAATGCATTGAATACAAAATTTGATGAGTTTTAAAGCAGTTGAGTACCAAGATACCACTGTACTTGGTGTGTTAACGCTCAAGGTTTATGCTTTTAAAGATCCTACTCAGTAACCTGCAATTAATAATCCTTAGAAAATTAATAAAAATAGAAAATGCTCTTGAGTTTCTTCTTACCGATTCCTGATTCCAGGAGCAATTTTCCATATATTACTATCTTTGCTGGCTATCTATTTTATTGTTGTAGGGGAAATAAAACAAACAGCTGTCCCTCCAAAAATTTCAATATCAGTATGAAAGTTATGAGATTATTTTCTGATTTCCTGTTGAAATTTGTGCTTCATACTTCCTTAAAAGGGAAGCATATAACATCAAAATCATATCAAGATGGATACAGAAATAATAATAATAATAAAAGTGAATCAGTAATAAAATGTTACAATAGCTGAGCACTAATTGAAAAATAAGTAGATGCAATGTACAACTTTCTCAAATTCCCTATAGGATAAACATACCAGCTGAAAGAGAACATGTAGGAAGAGTGTGTGTGTATGTGTGTGTGTGTGTGTGTGTGTGTTTGTTTGTATATACTCCTATCATTAAAGAACAGGCATCCATGAGCCTTGGTGGCGCAGTGGTTAGAGTGCAGTACTGCAGACTACTTCGTACAAAAATGAGAGGGCCAGATGGTCAGATTGTCACCTGGCTCTAACCAGTCCTGTTCTCCCCATCAGGTGCCTGAACTCAAAGTTCGAATGATCTAATTGTATATTTTGACAATACCAAAGATTCTTAAGAATGTATCATTGCTAACAGCCAAGCAAAAAGCAAATCAAACATACTGGCTGGGCTTGCGCGAACTAGTCAACCTCTTTTAGTTGGGAGTTACGTTGTGGGAACTCTTGTGTACTCAGTGCGTCATGCAAACCCAAGAAATTGCAGACGTAATAGTTTGTTTAATGGGTAAACGGATTGTGCAAACGTAGCCATCAGTTGCTACCCATCAGTCATGTAAGCACTGTAAACAGCCAGGATTCGTTTTTGTTGTTGTTGACTCTTGCATTATGGAAGCACCATCAATGAACAAATAAAGTAAGCAGCATTGTAGAAGCTTAGCAGCCCTTTAATTCATCTCCAAAGTTAAATGCTTGTGGTTTCTCGGAAGAGGCCGAAAAGTTTTGAATCCTGTTGGGAAAAATGGACTTGGATGCAAGCTAGGGAACAATATCAGGCTGGCCACCGAAGTGTGCTATAGCTGAACATAGAAGAATGGAGCATGTCATTTCCCTTCATAAACGGTTAACCCAGTGTTTCGTTCTGGATTTCTGAAAGTAGCTAGGAAAACTGTGGGACAAAATATGGAGCTGCATTACCTGTTTTTATGCTGTCTTTCCTTCCCTGTCAATTGCCTACTATCTTACAAGTCTATGGAATTTGAAGCTACTCTGGGTGTTTTATTTGAAATATTTCTCTTGTTACAGATTCTGCTTCACCTGATCAGTTATTTTTAATGATAGTGGAGAAAAATATAAAGAAAAAGAGGAGGTTGTTGTAAACAGCCAATAGAGCAACAGGATTGTTTCTTATTGACTAGACCAGGAGTCTCCAACCTTGGCAACTTTATGACTTTGGACTTCATCTCCCAGAATTCCTCAGCCAGCGCATGCTGGCTGAGGAATTCTGGGAGATGAGGTCCACAAGTCGTAAAGTTGCCAAGGTTGGAGACCCCTGGACTAGACCCATATTAATAAAGCATCTTCACAATGGTCTTCCCCTAAAATGAATTTTCTGTTTCAATCCTACAGTGTCCAAAAAACACGGCAAGCTTATTACTTTCTTGCGTACATTCATGAAGTCTCGACCAACCAAGCAGAAACTGAAACAGCGTGGGATCTTAAAGGAGAGGGTATTTGGCTGTGATCTTGGAGAACATCTTCTGAACTCTGGCCACGATGGTAAGGAAAGAAGCGAACAATGCTTGTTATGCACACTTCGTTTATACAAACCAGCACAGAAACCACTTCGGAAAGAAACTTGGATTTAATTATAACTAATTCTATATGAACGGGATGCAGTGGCTCGGACAGTGAGCTTGTTGATTAGAAAGATCGGTAGTTTGGCGGTTCGAATCCCTAGCGCCACGTAACGGAGTAAGCTCCCGTTACTTGTCCCAGCTTCTGCCAACCTAGCAGTTTGAAAGCACGTAAAAAATGTGAGTAGAAAAATAGAAAGCACCTTTGGTTTGAGTTTAGAAACCCTGTGGTCTTTGAATTAATCTTGCTTAAGTGCCAGCTCTAAAGTCCATCTGTGCCTCAAAATCTACACAACACCAAAGTAATCACTCTCAGTTGGAGCTTGGCAAGACATTTTAAAACATTTTTCTTGTCACTTATAATCTCTTAACAAGCTGTAATATGTTTTTGTTATTAGCCAAATTATTGTTAGGCTACTTTAGGCCATTTTTAGCAAATAGATGTGCATATTAATTCTAAAAGCAGGACTGAGTTTAGGATTATCAAGCAGTAAACTAACCAAGCCTAATTACAGTCATCTGAACAAGCTGTCAGGTTCCAAGTAATAGATCCACAGCAAGCCAAAACTCCGAGGCAAGTGGATTCCTCAAAGGGTCGTTTTATTGGAAATATCATATTGGGACATATCTGGTGAAAACCGACTCTGAGGATTCCCGTGGTTTTCATCTAATTAAAAGCAGCAGTTTTTCACTTTCTCAAAATGATCAGTCACATGATCCAATCACAGCTCCCTCCAATAACAACACCCCTCCTTCCAGGGACCAGGTGTGAGAATGTCCTTGGTTCTCAAGAGAAAAGTATTTTGTTTTGGCTACAAAGTCCCAACTCTCTCAATTCCACCCTCTCCCTATTCCTCAGCTCCAGTGTGGCAGCACTGAAGCTCCAAGACGGTTTCGGTCAGGTCAGCTTCACAGTTAACCCAAACAGAGTGTTGGATTAAATCTCGAAAGTGTTAAGCCTGGCAAAATTCAGTTGGTCTGTGACATTAAGGCACACAGTTCTTTATTGCCATTGATTTTCTGTGCCCATATACGTATTTTAAGATATCCCTGATAAACAGGTGGACAGGATCGACTCAGTGATAGCTGTGAACCTTGCAGTGGGTGGGCAAGACACAGGAAGATTGATTGGAGAGTTGGAGGGAGGCATTTTCACAGAAAGAGCAGATGACAGTAAGAGGAGGGAAGCCACTACAATATTTAATACAGGTCTTTACTTTGGACCAGTTTCTTCTCAGGGACCTAGAGGCTGTATTGCTGGAAGGCTGGCTTCAGACTATTATTGATAAAGTTCATCTTCACCTAGTATATGATCCAATGGGGTAGAGGAATACCTAGAGGTGTGATGGTATGTGGGAATGACTTTGGGAAACGGAGGAAGATATGTTGCCTAGGGAAGTACCATATTCTGACCTAGGCTTCCCAAGACCATGAAGCAACTCCTTGTCCCGGCAAAAAACCCTTTTATTAGTTTATTGTGAATACTGCTCATTCACATCCAGCAAAGTCTTTCAAGAGAGGATTTACAGTCACAGATCTTATCTGGCTTGGAGAGCTGACAGGCCGATATGTGCAAAACTTGGCAAGGAGTCTTGGAGAGTCACGAACCAATTAAGCGAACTAATTGTCTTCTGCAAACTCCACTCCCCTTTCACTCCTCTTTAATTTTCTCTGGGAGGGGCCATTTATCATCTGCCTTTGGCCTTACTCACCAGTCAACCCCTGTTCTTTAGCAGTTACCTTACAGTACAGTATGTAATAGTATATTGAAAACTGGAAAATATAGAGAATAGGAATTAAATAGCTAAGAGGTAAATTTTGGATTAATTCAGTGTTGTTGTTAGTTGCCAAGTA